TGCCGTAGTCAGGGGTGTGAATAGCAGCAGTACTTGAATTAGATCTAGATCCATCTGTATAAATGGTGATTGCATCTGGGATAGTTGTACTGTGCATAATTCTAGGAAAAGTTAAAGGAGTGTCTTTAAGAAATTGTAAAAGTTTATTAGATGGTTAATGGGAACCAATATTTCCAGGGAAATTAGCAAAAGCTAATTGCCATTCCTCAGAAGGAGCCCACAGCCAAGCCTGTTTCTGGGCTCTGTAATAACAATGAAAGAAGATTCAGCAGCCAAAAGGTGTCTAAGTTGAGTTCTAGCTTTACGAACCACTTTACACTCCAAAACATGGTAAGAAGTAAGGTGTTGAGAAGGAGAATTTGAAAGATGAATCCATTCAAGTGGTCCCAAAGGTTGCCATAAAACACCTGTAGGAGTCGGACTGGTGGTACAAACAGGTGCTTGGGGATCAAGATGAAATACCTGAATAGCATTCTCACCAAGCTGTAAAGCTTGTGTGACAGCTGGTGTTAAATGCCTAGAAGAAGAAGGATTAGAGTTGCCTTGAAGTATTTGAAAAAGAAGTTGTAATTGTCCTGTGGTAAGTCTCAAGAAAGGTCTTAACCAATTAATGTCTCCAAGCAATTTTTGGAAATCGTTCAGGGTATGCAGATGCCTAGTTCTTATTTCTATCTTGTGGCTGAACAGTTCTCTGTAAAATACAATTTCCCAAATAAGAGAATGGAGCTTGCATTTGTACCTTTTCAGGGGCAATATGAAGTCCATGGACAGTCAATTGTATCTTAAGTAGTCCATAAAGTTGAGATAAAATTGGTGGATCTGAGTGAGAACAAAGAATATCATCCATATAATGGATAATATATGCTTCTGGATATTTGTCACATACGTGCCACTTGCATGGCTCGTGCTACAAATGTTTGACACAAGGTGGGACTGTTTGCCATCTCCTGTGGCAGCACTTTCCAGTGATATCTTTTCATGGGCTTTTTAAAAGTTAACTGAAGGTAAGCTAAAGGCAAAGCGCTCTTTGTCTTCTGGATGTGCAGGGATAGAAAATAAACAATTTTTCAAGTTAATAACAATAAGGGAGTGTTTCCAAGGGAACATAGTGGGGGAAGGTAGTCCTGGTTATGACACTCCCATGGTAACCATGATTGCATTAACCTTGCGGAGGTCCTGCAAAAGCCTCCAATGACCAGAATGTTTCTTCCTTATCACAAAAATGGGAGTGTTCCAAGGACTAAGGGATTCTTTAATATGTCCAGCTTCTAGATTTCAGACACAAGCTGTTGGGCAATTTGCAGTTTTTCCTGAGTTAGGGGCCAGTGGTCCACCCAGATGGGCTTCTCAGTTAAACACTGTATTTTAGAGGCCATCAATATTGGATATGCTGGAGATACCAAGGCCCCTAGGGCAAATTTGAATTGTATCCTAGATCAGATTGATCTTGTTGAGGCTGAGGAGAAAGTGGGAGTAATTGACCTTGATTTTCTGTCCTAAACCAGTACTGGGCATATATCCTTGACTTACCATCATTTGGGTAACTTGAGGACTGGGACTATAAAGTAAAATCAACATTTGAGATAAAATATCTCATCCCCATAAATTAACAGGAAGATGATCGGGAATGTATGGTTGAAAAGTTCCTGTATGTCCCTTTTTGTCTGACCACGTTAATGTTCGAGAACTTTGTAAAGGACCATGTGCCAATACCTTGCAAATCAGTCAGAGCCTCTAGTGGGCCAAGTCGTGGGCCAATGCCGTGATGTTACAATAGATATGTTGGCTCCAGTATCTACTAAATCTCCAGAATATTTTTTATCAATCCAAAGTATTAAAGTAGGTCATTCGAGTCCTACTCATTGGACCCAAAAGGCATCAGAGGAACCAAAGCCTCGGTTCCCTCTCATCTGAGAAGTTTGACAACGGTTGGGTTTTACAAGAGGCAGCACAACTAGCTGAGCTACATGGTCAGTAGGTAACATTTGTATAATTTTGAAAGGTGAACAACAAATATAGTCTCGCCCATATAATCAGTCATAACTCCAGGTACCACTTGTAATCCTTTTAAGTTCCAGCTGCTACTTCCCAGAATAGGGCCCACTGTACCGGGAGGTAAAGGGCCATACATTCCGGTCCCATATCAGGAGTTAATATGAATTTGGAGGTGGGACTGAGGTCCAGTCCTACTCTCCCTGAGGTTTCTTGACAGAGTTGGATTGTTGTGCATTGGGGAGAGTAAATGAGGAAGTCGTGGATAGGGCCCCCATTATTTGCCTAGGCCGGGGCTGGTCCCTTCAGAAGTTTCCTGGTAATGGAGACCCTTGAATATCAATTTGTAACTTACAGTCACTAGCCCAGTGTTTGCCTCGGTGACACAGTGGGCAAAAACCAGGCTGTTTGTTCAGTCTTTCCTGAGGTGAATTAATAGGAGATATCTTTTGATAATCTGCAGGGCAAGTGCATTCTTGAGCAAAATGGCCGAATTGTCCACAGCAAAAGCATTTGCCTCTAAAATGGTGCTTCATTCCTAATTGGGGGCATGGTTGCTCTGTCAGGCTTAAGGTTTTATTTAATACAGCTGCATCTTGCATATAGAAGGTCCCACATCTGCATAGAATTTAATAAAATCAGAAAGATTCCATTTTTTTCTAAAAGGCCAAATGAGACCCTGGCAAGTGCTGTTTGCATATTCAAAAGCCAATTGTCTAGCAAGGATATTTCCAGCTTCAGAATCAGGAACCACTCGAGATACCACTTGAAACAAACGAGAAACAAATTCCCGAAATGGCTCGTCCAGACCTTGCCAAATGCTATTAAGTTCTTCAGTTTTTGCTCCTGCAGTAGCAGAGTTCTCCGAGCCTTAACCCCTCAAATATTAATTTGCTGATATGCTTGTATAGGAAACTGGAGTTGATCTACTAAGAATACTGCCCTCCAGTTAGCATATCCAGGCTGATAGGAACGTTATGCATTCAGTTTCTTTTGACCTGTTGTGTACACAAGTCTACAAATTTAGTTTTCCATAGCAAATAATCACCTCCAGAAAGACACACTTTAGAAAACATTTTCCAGTCATTTGGAGCCAGAGCATCAGTGGATATTCCTTCCAAGAGAGCAAGAGTAAAAGAAGCATATTGAGAACAAGAATTTTTAAGCTCTTAAAGTTTTAAAAGGAATAGGACTATGTCGTCTAACATTTCCATCCCTATCTTGCACTTTAATAACTGGCAGACAAATAGAGTGGAACCCAGATATATCCTCTCCTTGCCTTTGAGCTTCCTGAGTGCTCTGCTGTAAAACTGAGTAACAAATAGGATTAGAAGCCGTTTTAGCAACAGGAATAGAAGGTCTGCGGATTGGGTGACCACTAGGGGGACACAAAGGCACGGGAGGGTTCCCTGATTGCAATATATTATTTTGAGATTTGTCAGAACAAGTAAATGGTTAGTTGCAGGGGCTTAGGAGAAGACATATGATTTTAATAAGAAGTTAAAACATCTAGTAGGACGTTCACTGGAAGGCCTTGTGGGGCCCTCTCTTTCCAATTCAAACTCTAGGGAAGCAAGTTCCTCCTGATCGCCATTTTGAACACTACAGATACCATGGGCGCCATGTTGGACGCCATGTTGCTTATTCTCATAAAAATCTTTCTCACAATACTGTTTCTCTTCCAGTAACCCCTGTTCATATTTAAGATGTAATAATTCAGTATTTTGGTCATATTTAGGAGGTAAAGGTTCACAGTTCACGGGGGCTGTGGCATTAGCCAAAGCCTCATAGCCAGTGACTGCTTGTTGCAATTGTGCAACTACAGAGCTTTCTTCCCGTGGTATGTCTGGCAAACGATTGATCTTGGGGGTTGAATCCAAACTTTCCTTTATTAAATTCCACAAAGTAAACGTATGCACAGGAAAGTCCTGAGGTCCTTGAAGGGTATAGTGCTGTTTAAGTTATTGCCCACCTTTTGCCAGAGCTGTTCATTTATGGTTCCTCCTTCAGGGAACCAGGGGCGAGTATCTTGCCCAAAAATAAGAAAAGCATCTAATTGCTGGGCACGTACAGCAATACTGCGACCACAAAGAGTAGTTTTAAGCATATGCACAAAAAGTGACTGGTCCTTTGATCCAGACTGACCCATAGCTATAGCTTTGCACACACAAAAAATTTTAAGGGTCTGACAGTCCTTTGACCCTTGCTATCCCAAGTTTTACACCTGATTCTACACCTCCTGTACTACTTCTAGGACTTCACCAAGTTCGTACCTTATAGACGCACATCTATTCACCAGCGGGAGCCGCTCCTCACCGAAAGTACTGGCCATGCACACGAGACCTGATTCTTCTCAGGTCCACTTCACTCCATACTCAGGTTCCTGTTTGGGCGCCACCTGTGGAGACCATCTCCACAAACCAGCTGAACCTGAGTGGAGTGGAAATGAGAAGCTTAAGGAAAGCACAGAGAAAGATACAAGACACGGAAACCAAAGCTGGGATCAGTAGGTTCACTGCCTTGCTGATGACAGACAAGTGACGCAGTTTATTTTCTGAGCACCACTTATATACACAAGTTCATAATGATGTCACTTCCATTTCTGATGATATCACTTCCAAGTGCCCTGATCTGGTGATGTCACTTCTGGTGTGACATTACATCTGGCCCTCCACTTATCTTGAATATGTATATATCTTATTTCACATGTGAATTGAAGTCTTTAAGCTTTTTGAGGGTTACTCTCATATCCTTTTCACTTTTGTAACTTTCACAATATAGTGCCTTACCTATGGAAAGTGCTGAATGAGTAAACAGTATATAAAATTTAGTTAAATAAGGCAAGTTATTTGCTATAAAACAAGCAGAAATTCTCTACTGAGTGACATTTTATAACTTTAACTGCTGGAAACAAATAGAAATAAATATTGTGGAACGATTTCCATCCCATAAGATTTGGAACCTGCCAAAGGAAAATTTTTGTCTATATTATTTTACTGTGATTGTAGGTATTTGCGGTATAGATGAATTTGATAAGATGGGGAATCAACATCAAGCCTTGTTAGAAGCCATGGAACAGCAGAGTATTAGCCTTGCTAAGGCTGGCATAGTTTGTAGCCTCCCTGCAAGAACTTCCATTATTGCTGCCGCAAATCCAGTTGGAGGACACTACAATAAAGCCAAAACAGTTTCTGAGAACTTAAAGTAAGTCTCTTCAAATATTTATGCCTTTACTATATGGAATCCTTATAAACCAATAAAAAGATAACTGAGGACATAATAGGTAGTTCACAGAAGTTGCAAGTTCCAATAAAAGTACAAAAATGTGTTTGAGCATTACACACCAGTGGTATCTACAAGATTGGCAAACAAATATTAATAATCATTGACAAAGAGGTGGGGAAATGGGTTCTTACAACCTCAGTTTTGAATGTTGAAGGACAGCTTGGCATGTTTATCACGATTTTAAATGTATTCCATTTGTGCCAGCCAATTTTACTTTTAGGAATCATACTCACAGAAGTAGTTAACACAAGTACACAGATATGTTTACAGGGTAGGTATTGTGGCATCGTTTATCACTGACAAAAATCGGAAACAATTTAAAGTGCCAGTTGATAAGCAAGGCTCTACAGTGAAAAGTAGCAATTACAAAAATGAAAGTAGCTCTGATAGGGGAACATGTCTGTGTTTTACTATTAAGTGAAAAGAGCACATTGTGTACTTATATATGAAGTATAATCCCAGTTTTTTCTAAAACAATATTTATATCTGTGTATATATATATATATTCACTAATTTATATATATATTGTATATATATATATATATACAATATATATATATATTCTCTAATTTGTTCTGTACAGGTTGGACAAAGTGTATGGCAAGGGAAAAATAGATTGAAGTGATACAAAAGTGAGAACAAAAGAATGCCTTAAAAATGTGAAAAATTGGAACCTTAAATTCTACTGCAGAAAAAAAAACTTATTTTCCTAATGTACAGTATTGTATACCCTTAATGTAGAAATGGTACATAATAAACTATTCAAAGTACTATATTGGAAAGATCCTATTCAACAGGGATCCAGGGGACTTAGATTCTGGATTTTAGTGGTACCACAAGCTGATTTGGGACCTTGCCAAATTCTTTAATCACTTTGGATTTCTGTTTTCTTGTCTCACATAGAGGAATTATCTGATTGGTGGACTCAGGAAGATGACTAAGTTTTTATTATAATGACTAATAGATCTATAATGTCCCATTAAGAAAAAGTGGGCATTTTTCTTCTAAATGGTTATAGGTACATTGAAATACTCAGTGTTTTGGTGAGACAAATGATACAAAAAACTAAGAACTACACACCCAACTAGATAACCTCTGATGTATCATGTAGCATTCTAACTTAAAAATTCAGTGACTTTAGGTCATTGTCAAGCTTACTGTCAGATAGTGATACAGAACATAGAGAAGAAATTAGAGGTTTTGATGATGTGAGAAAAGGCCTTGTCCTTAACCTACCGAAGGTATATTTATGGTTTGTTCACACATTGAAGGGCATGTAGCCTGGTGTCTCTGGAGTTGGTGGTTGTAATGAATCCAAAAGCTATTGCTCATTTCTTTAAAGTAAAACTTGATGTTTTAAAAATTCTACATGGAACTTGAATAGTAAACAAGCAAGTAATAGTTTTGTTTGATTCCAATCAGTGTTTCTTCTTTCTTGCCTCTTAGAATGGGGAGTGCCCTGCTGTCCAGATTTGATTTGGTCTTTATCCTGTTAGACACCCCAAATGAGGATCATGATCATTTACTCTCTGAACATGTGATTGCAATAAGAGCTGGAAAGCAGAGAACTGTTAGCAGTGCCACAGTGGCTCGTATGAATAGTCAAGCTTCAACTACTTCTGTACTTGAAGTGATTTCTGATAAACCATTATCAGAAAGACTAAAGGTATGTTTCTTCTTAGTCATTCAGTTGAGTTCTGTTAGAGTTCAGTGTGTTCTTGTAGAGCAGTAGCATATAAACTTTCATACCAAAACCTTTTATAATAGTAGAGCTTATGTAACCTTAATTTGAAATAATTTTAGTTAACCAGAGAGCTGTAACTACAGTGTTTGATTTATTTGGAGAGTCTTTTAGAAATATGTGTCTGAAGAAGTTATACTAACAGTTTATTTACTACTCATCTTTTTTTTTTTTTTGAGAGGGCATCTCTCATATTTATTGATCAAATGGTTGTTAACAATAATAAAATTCTGTATAGGGGATTGTGTGTAATGCACAATCATTAATCAACCCCAAGCCTAATTCTCAACAGTCTCCAATCTTCTGAAGCATAACCAACAAGTTCTTACATGGTGAACAAGTTCTTACATTTACTACTTATCTTTGTAATCCTGGGCCTTTTTATCATGCTTTAGGTGGTTCCTGGAGAAACAATAGATCCAGTTCCCCACCAGCTGTTGAGAAAGTACATTGGTTATGCTCGGCAATATGTCTATCCAAGGCTATCCTCAGAAGCTGCTCAAATTCTACAAGATTTTTACCTTGAACTCCGGAAGCAGAGTCAGCGCTTAAATAGCTCACCAATTACTACTAGGCAGCTGGAATCTCTGATTCGTCTAACAGAGGTTTAAGTTAATGCTTTTTTTTTGGCTTAAAACTGGGGGTGGGAGGTAGTATGATTTCTCTCAGTTTCCTGCTTAATGGACTTGATTTATCTTCCAGCTGAAAGATACTAGAAAAGAATCAAAAAAGTTTTTGAAAGGTTTGGTCATATCTGTAACACAAGATATGACGAAAGTAAAGCCACTTCATTTTGGGCACAAGACTAGTTACTATGCAACTTTTTTTTGTTTGTTTTAATGACACTCGTATAGGGTGAAAAGTAATTAGGTTAATTGAGGATTATGAGATTGATGTTAATGAAAGGTGTTAATATTTTATTTGATACACTACAGGTCTATAAGAGTAGTACCTGTTTTTCTAACAGTGGTAACATCTATTCACAGGTATGGAATGCTGAGAGAACTCTGGCAGTTAAAATTAGTTGGGTCAGAGTTTGGGCTTTTTGCTTCTAAATCTGATTATTTTTGTTTTAAGTTTAAATATAAAATTTGTCATCTTAACAAATTAGTTAGGCATGATTTCCTGAAAATGAAAGGCAAGGAAAAAACAAGTGTATTTCATAATCAAATCTTCTGAAATGAACACTCAGAAAGATATGTTAGTATAGTAGATAAAAATAGATTTTAATGCATATTTTAAATGAGTGATCATTTTCATACTCAAGTTTTCAGGTACTTTTTAAAAATGCTGACTTTTCACATTACAATTCCTCTTCCCCCAAAATCAGTTTTTGTGTAAAATGAATAAATGAAATAAGGTTAGATATACTATACCAGCACAATGTTAAATACGTATTTATTTAAAAATGGTTGTTTTCTTTCAAAGGCACGAGCAAGGTTGGAATTAAGAGAGGAAGCAACCAAAGAAGATGCCGAGGACATAGTTGAAATTATGAAATACAGGTAAAATTAAAATTTTAAGTGCTATTTTAAATGAAAGCTGTCATCTTTCTATCTCAGGTTTTCACTGGATCACTTCTTTTCCTGTGAACAAATTACTTTTTTGTTTTAAAATATTTCTATATAAATAATCTTTACATTTTAAAAAATTGCCCTTGAATGATAATACATTCACATAGTTCTAAAAATCACCTCATAGTACACACTCTGAGAAGACTTGGCTCCATCCTGCTTATCACCACCCTTCGTCTCCACCAGAACACCCATTACTTTCATGTAAATAGCATATGACTTAACACTGTTTTGTACTTTTTTAAAAATTTGACAATATATACAGAAACCCCTTATTTGGAGAGAATTCTTTTTTTTTTTTTTTTACAGCTACATAGTATGCTATTTCTTAAATGCACCGTAGTTTATTTAACCAGTCCCCCATTGCTAGACATGTGAGTGTTTCCCATTCTTTTGCTATTACAAACAATGCTATAATGAGCAATGTCTGTAAGTAACTTCATATGTGGGTAAGTGTATACCTGTATGAGAAATTCTCAGTAATTATATATCTGGGCCCAAGCATAAATAAATACCTTGGGATTTTGACAGTATTGCTAAACTGTGTCCTCTGTATTTTATAGCATTTGGTAAACCATGATTCCTAGAAGGTAGGAAGGAAAAAAAAAATCTGTAATTTAGTTGATCATAGATGTCTACCTTAGACATAGACTTTTTTTAGTTAATAAAAGCAAAAGCTGATTATTTTAGGTAGGGTTTTTTCAGTTAAAATTTTTTTTCAGTAGGTTCACACAGAGGCTTCAAAATTCAAAAGTTCAAGAAGTACATAGTAGAGGTTTCCTCCTACCCTGTTTACTGGCTACCTAGTTCTTCCTCCTCTTGCCCCAAGGGCAACAAATAATCAATTTTTTGTGTGAATTTCAGATATAAAATACCCGTCACAACTCTCTATATTCTTTCCCCCTTGTGTGGAGGAGTGGCAGCCTGCCATACACGTTCTACCCCCTTGCTTTTCTCACTTTCAGTGCATCTTGGAAGTCATTCCATGTCAGTGCTAAAGAGCTTCCTTTCACTTGTCACAACTATATAGCATTACATTGTGTGAGTGCATCATAATTTAGAAATTAGCTCTTTTTAATATGCTCTACAGCAATTAAAATATAAATCTGTTAGGAATCTACTTTCCCAAGGCCAAAAAATATATTGAAGATGAAATTATTTTGTTACTTTGTCAGGTAATTTCTGTTTCTTCAAAAGTAGATACATTTTTCTTTTCCTGATAGGTATTCTGGGGACTGTTAGGAATCAGAACCAGGTGGCTCTGCCCAGTTTTTCTCATTTGGCTCTGAGCCAGAGTCATACAGCATAGCTGCAAGAGCGAGGGCTTTAGAACTTGACCTGGAGCTACCATGGCAAGTTACACTCTGCCTCTAGTCTCCTTTTGTGCTCTAAGGGATCACACACAGTGCTCCCTGCTGTACAAAGTGACAGATATGGTTCTGAGACTGAGCAGATTGCGTTTTCTCTGACTCCTATTGTTAAGTAACAGCTTCAAAAACTGGCAGTATTTACAACACAGATCAGAAGTTTCCAAAATTATCCTTTTCAAAGAATTTCTTAGGTCTAGTCTTCAAAGTTTTCCATCTGAGTTTTCTAGTACTTCAGAGCTGCAGATCCTTTCTCTATTTCCCTACAGAGAGACTTTACCTAGTTGTCTCTTCATCTCCAGGCTGATACTGGCCTATCTCTGGAGGCACTCTGCCCTCTCTGCTGCCTCTAGAAGCATGCTGTGTGGTTAGAAGGGGAGCCATGTTGCCTCCTTAAGGTCTAAGCTTTAATCTATAACTTATGTCTTGCCCTTATAGGCAGCCCATAAAGAAGGGCCTTTCTTTCTGACTCAGTATGTCAGCAACAATGAAGGCTATACTTGTGGTCTCTGAAAGCTTTAAAAATTCAAGAATTGACAGCTCTTAATTTTTTATTGCTGACCCTAAAGCAACAGCCTCATAATGAGTAAAATCATTAATTACTAATGATTGCCAACCCTTTCAACTAATTTCTAACATATTACCTTCTATCTAAATGTCTTATAATTAAGCATCATACAGTACTTGAACTGTCAGTTTTCTCTTTCACATGATATAGTGCTAGGGTTAGAGGGATCTTGTAGATGAAGATTTTACTAAGCTGGTTTCATTCCTTCTGCAATTGACTTCATTGTGTTGAAAATCTCTACTTGCCATTTATAAGCAACCAGATTGTCTAAGAATTACTAGACTTTCTTAGAACATTCTGCCAGGGGCTCGGTGTACCACAATACAAAATAAAGGAATGGCCACAAATACCAGTTGTCTGCCTAATTCCTGGTGGGCCTAGGTTCCTGGGAGACTAGACCAATAAGAAACCTAGAGACTGCTATAAGAGAGATCCTTTTTTTCACAAGAAAAATAAGTCACTGACCATAACCAAAATTCCAGAAAATTTACATTCTACCTTTTTTTCTCACTTAAAAACAAGGACCAACAATAGGGACTCTTATTTGATGATAAGAAGCTACCTGTTTGCTTATAAGCTAGAGTGCATCTTTCTTTCTGTGCATCCTGCACTTAAACTCACCACCTTTTGTGGTGGAACTAAGATTGCCACTCCTAACTTCCTTTTTGTCTCCTGCTTTGGGTCTTCTGGTGCGTGGCTCTGCTGAAGATTGTCAAATGCATCTACTGTATAGGTTGTTGGCTATCAAGCAAATCAAGGGTCAAACTACCCTGATAATCCTTTTACCTGTAATGTCTCTTTATGAGGCTTTACCCTTACTCAGTTTACTTAGGCCTCAGACCCCAGATCTTGCCTCAGGCAGTCTGGTATTTCTCCACAGGATGGAGTCAAGATTGCAGGTTAGAGCTTCAGGAAAGGATGGAAGGATAGCAGATGGGTAAGAATCCTGGTAATTGTTAAAGTGGGAAGAAGGGAGGTGACAGACTCTTGGTTGGTGACCTTGGAATTTTGAATTTTCCACAGTGCCTAGCATGCAACCTAACATTGAGTGGCCGTCAGTCTATTTTTAAATTTTATTTTGAAAGGCACTCAGTATATAAAGGTATATAAAGGAGTTTGCTTTCAAACTCCAGAACGTGTGCCTTCACACAAGCCCTGTGTGACAGGGAAGGGCCTGGATAGTCTTATTCCCACTACACAGCTGGGAAATTGTGGCCATGGGAGGGTCAGTGACTGTCCTGAGGTCACCAAGCCAGGGGCATCCCCAGCTCGCGCTGGAACCCAGGCCTCTGCCTATATCTTTCTCGCCTGGCAGCTGCCTGAGAACCACAAACTGTGGGGACTGGGTTTTCCACCCAAGAGTTTGCTGTTTATGTTGGCTGCAGAGGGACTCCAGTTATCTTTGTCAAATCAAAACACGATGTGAGAGGTCTCTGGTTTTGCGATACCTGCGTCCACGCGCAAGGGTTGCAGTTCTGCGCCAGACTGAGCTTCTGTTGGAATGTGGGGAAAGGTGGGAGCCAGAAAGAGAGTCAGTGGGCATTTCTGCCAGGTGCCTGGGCCTCAGGGGGACCAGAGTTGAATGGAGGGGAGGACACCAGAGGTGGTCTTTGTGGCCCCTGTCCTTTCTTGGAGCCCCATCCCCCCTCTGCCTCCTTCTTCACAAACATCCTCTGATTGACTGTTTCCCCAGCTGCCCAGACCTGTTCCCCAGGGCCTATACTGCCTAGTAGGTAACCAATTTATGTTTAATTAATTGCTGATTAAATAACAACTTTGCCTTTGAGCCTTGCAGTAAAATTATATCTGTCCTATTGTACAGGGAGGAAGTCAGCAATAGGGCTGGATCAGGGAGGGTGGCTAATTGTGTTCAACTAGTGTTTTCAGACCTCTGGCTTAAATTCACTGTCAAGTAGATACTTCTTTTATTGATGATACTGTGAAAATAAGAGTAAGTAACAGAGAACTGGAGGTAATCGGTATATCCCTTGCTATCTAAGCATCATTACTGCAAGTCAACAGAACCCTTACAGTTCATTCCCAGATGTTTTTAAACACCTTTTATTTGCCAGATGCTGCACTAGGAGCTGGGAACACATCTTTACCCAGTAGATACTAGATTTACTATGTTTAGAATTTCTTTTTTTCTTGAATCACAAAGAATGTCCCAGGTATTTATATTGTAGTCTTATCAACTTTGTGTATTTTTATGCATTTCTCTTCTCAAATTTAGAAGTATCTTAAAAGTGGTAACTGCATCCAAAATACTTTTAATCCAAACAGCCCATACCATAGTGAATTTCACAGTGGCTACTTCATAAATACATGTTTATACCTTTGCTGCATGAGAGTCTTGATTACTTCCACATTTTTCTTCTAACCTGAAGGCCTGAAACAAAAATTTCAGTAGCCATGCCATATTGGGTAACTTTGTTTTTCTTCTTCCATTAAGCATGCTAGGAACTTACTCTGATGAATTTGGGAACCTAGATTTTGAGCGATCCCAGCATGGTTCTGGAATGAGCAACAGGTCAGCAGCAAAAAGATTTATTTCTGCTCTTAACAACATTGCTGAAAGAACTTATAATAATTTGTTTCAATTTCATCAACTTCGGCAGATTACCAAAGAACTAAACATTCAGGTATGAGAAATCAAATACTTAATAAATCCTTCTAACATTTTCAGGAGGTCTTAATTTATAGTAGCACTTTTAAACATCAAAAGATTTGGATTAAAAGAATGGAATAGGCATTTTTGGAATATTTAAAAATACAAGCTTGTTCAAGCAATGAAATTAGCTTCTCAGAGCTTAGAGAAGTTTTTATCTAAAATCCACCTCTTTTTGAAAGATTTTTCAGCATCTTGATATTGAAGGGGAAACACTGTAGCAAGACATAGTTTCCATGTTTTTCTGCCAATCCCTTGTGGGCAGGTGGGCCTAACTTCTTTGAATTTCAGTTTCCTCATTTGTTAAATGTTAAGATTCTACTTGTTCCACCTACTTAAAAGTTTTGGTAAAAGTGGATGTAATAGGACTTTAAACATGTAAAACTGTTATATGGAAAATTGCCCACTAATTTAAAAATTGAAGCTAGTCTAATGTTAAGAGTATCTACATATTGGAGTTTTTGTTTTTTATTAGCTCAGCATTATAGAACCCAAAGCTTATGTAAGCAATTTTCTCTATAAGAAATACATATAATTTCATTTGCCCAAGAAACCTGACAATTATATATTACTATTGAGAGATTAATTTTAAAACTCACATTTTTGCATATTACTTAATGGACTGTTTTGATGTCTTCCAGGTTGCTGATTTTGAAAATTTTATTGGATCACTAAATGACCAAGGTTACCTCTTAAAAAAAGGCCCAAAGGTTTACCAACTTCAAACTATGTGAAAGGGCTACTAAGTCAGAACCTCCTGGTTATTAGCAGTTTAAAGCCATCTCAATAATAAAGAATATGCAAAAAAATTACTGTTCTCTGAAAAATTATATCCCAAAAATAATGTAATAGGAAAAGAAATTAAACTAATTTAAGAAATGATAAAGTCATGTTAGTTTTTTACAACTTCTCCAAAATGTTAAATATAGTTTGCATTTTTTAACCTAAATGATGTAATTATAAATTATAGTCTTTTATTCTTGTAAATATTTCATGGTTTTTGCATATCAAATTCTATCTGGGTAAGCATTCACAAAGTTGCATTTTATGTTTAAATATTTTGACAAAAATGAATGGATGTCTTTCAGAAATAAATTGAAACCAACTTTCAACTCCAGAAAAACTTCAAAAGATTTTGTATTTATATATTTATCTTAACATCTTAGCCATTAAATATTTTTTTCACACAGTGTTTATTACCAATGTTAAACATATATCTGTTCTAAATAAATAGCTGTGCAATTATCCATCCTTGCATATTACCTAATTTTCTGCTCAATTTCAATTATTCTCCCATTTATCTCCATTTTTCTAAAGGACATACTAGTAATGCTAACCCTTGAGTTTTCAGTTTTAAAAACTTAACTACTTACTACAGAAGGTGAGAGTGTTCTCTTAAACCCTTACCTACTACGTACATACACAATTTCACATTTCAATTTGTCATAATTTTTAATCTGTAGTCTACATTATTATGACTGTTGAATATTATTTATTCCTTTCTTGTACAACTTTTTGTTTTCCCTAGAGTTAATAATTTGTTTTACAACTACTTAGATTTCTAGGTATCTACCACCAATTTGACCCTAAGGCTCCAGTGTAAGTCTGTCTCCTCTCAGAACATGCAGACAAATCAAACAGTGTATTTTAACTTCTTGGGTACCTATTTCCTGGAATTCTCTGACCTTTCCAGTCTGAACTACACAGCTGTCATCTTGGGACTTCTCAGTCTCTCTTCCATTTCCTATCTCCTATGTCGTCTTCTTTTCTGGTTTTACTCCTTATTTTGGGTGGAATCCATCTAGTAGCTTCCTGAGAAAGAGTTCCTAAGGCAAATTCTGTATTCACCCCAGAATTGGTAGTTTGGACATCGAATTTTAGTTTGGAAATCATTTTTATGCAGAATTTTAGATGTGTGTCTATTGTTTTTAATTTTCAGTGTTGCTGTTTAGAAATCCAAAGCCATTCTGATTTTTATTCCTGGCATATGACATTTTCTTTTTCCTCTTGAGAAGCTATTCAAATCTTCCCTTTTCCTGTGGTATTCAGAAATTTTATAGTGTATAATAACTATCCTGCTGGTTTCTTATGCCCAAAATGTTGGAGTTATTGTTACCTCTTCTTTCTCATACTTCATGTCACTCCATCAACAGATCCTTTCAGCACTATCTTCAAAATATCTGGAATATGATCATTTTAAGTTATTTCCAGTTCTGCTACTAGAGCTAGATCCACCCTCTCTTGTCCAGCTTTGTAGAGACAAAGACTTCGCTTTATGCACTATAGTTTCCCTGGCGAGTAGGACAGATTTTGACACATACCTGTGAGATAGATACACAAAAAGTGGGTGATTATACCTCTAGTAATTGAGGATGCAGAATGGTACAGAACTGAAGTGGTTAAGCAACTTGATTTAAGAATACAGAAAAATAACAAAACAAAGCAAGAGTTTTTAGTAACAAGATCGAGGCATATCCCCCATTCTCTTTGGAGAAATTTCTCAAAAGCAATAAGGAAACTGGGAAACAAAAACTGTGTAGTCCATCTTCTGTAAACTAGGAGACAGCTGTAAACCCACATCCGAACCCACTAAAAAGAGCTACCAAAGCTGTCAGGATCAGGCAGCCTGGCATGAGGGAAGAGGCAGAGATGATGCCTGTGGCTGAAGCTTTTAGAAGGAACCAACAAAGTATATTTCTCAAAGTATATTTTCCACACCTTTTGGAGCAAAAAGTAAAATCCCATGTTTTCAGTAGTGTGAATTTGACATGCTGCTTGGCAGCGGCAGCTTCTCAGGACCTTGCCGGATTACAAGAAGTAAAAGAAGAGATGTTAAATGAGAAGTCACAGATAAGCCACTTTGATGGAAAAAAAAAAGTTGACCTCAAATTTCTTCAAAATATTATTCATCACTGAAACAATGGAGCAATGCCCACAAGACTTTTTAAGAAAAAATTGTATACCCGCATGTTTCAGTCATGTTTCTTAGTTGAAAACCAGGAGTCAACAAACCTTTTCTATAAAGGGCTAGTTAGTAAAAATTTTAGATTTTCTGGGCTGTCACAAATACTCAACTTTTGTTTTAGCTCTAAAACAGCCACAGATAATACATAAATGAGTGTTTTCCAGTAAAAGTTCTTATGGATACTGAAACTTGGATGTCATACAATTTTCATGTCAAGAGTACTAAATCTTAATTTTTTAAAAATCATTTAACAGTAGTAAGCAGTGGGTCAGATTGTCCAATTTGGCTGTAGTTAATACCCTGTTGGGTGCAAACAATAAGACCTGACCGACTGAAAAAGGAAAAGGAAGTTTTTTGAAACAATTTTGTTGGCTCACAGAATTGATGGAAGGCTGGTGAACCAAAAGGATAAGGTTTGAGGAACAGTGCCTAAAACCATGTCTTAGAACCAGCCTGAAGAAGAAGCTGCTACCACCCAACCACCACACAGGCACTAAAGGGAAGTGCTGCTGTCTCCATGCCCCACCGATGCCACTTCTGTACCAGGAACATGGGGAACCACTGCCCCTGCAGAAAGGTGGGTGTCCCCACCTGTATCAAAGCTCAGAGGACTCTTGATGGGGCTTCCTTTTATTGCTGCATTCAAAATAGAAATCTCATCTAGAAATATCTAATTGCAGAAGGGTAAGTCATATGCCCATTTCCTGAAATCTAGGGAGTCTTCTGGGTTTTATTGCCATGAGGTACCATCAATAAAGACAGACTTTGTCATGTTGTAAGAGTATTCAAGTGGTACCGGGTTGCCAGACAAATATTCATGTATAAAGTCCACAAACACTTCCTAACATACAAGAACACAAAATGTGAAGCATGTCTTAATACTGTAAAGTTTGACAGCCAACCAGATGAACATAAAAAAGAAAAAGCTGGTAATGTATATTGAATGTTTAACTGTAGGATCAAAACTTAAATAAAAAATGGGGGATTATTGCCATAGAAAAGAAAGTAAATATGAAATTCTGTTATTTTAAAAAGGAGGGAGAATGTAAATAGTTTAAATATGTCTTTAAAGGCTGGGGCAGAAGGTTAAAAGGTATTTAAAGCTGACAAATACATTAATAAAAACATACTTCACAAAAGTCAACTCAGGTTTACAAAGTAGGTGGTATGAGAGAAGGAAGTGGAAATAAACTACTTAAATAGCATATACATATGTATCTGTCATGCAGAAACGTACCACATAGGCATTGTTCAAACAAAAATAATAGACACTGTTGAAAAAGCTAAAGGTTAAAACTATTCTATAAAATTATAGGGAGAAAAGATGATACAGACCTAACAACAGAAGAAATTTGTGTTTTCTTAGATTCTATGTTGTCTGCTTGGCATCCATCAATCACAAGGCCAAACTAATGACTGAAGTTGTTTACACCTCCCCTATGATCCAGTTTGGTGGATTACAAACCCTCCCACCACAAACCTCAAGGTCTGTGTTTCACTTCCTGCCCATAAGGGACATTCCCACCTAACAGCTTCTCACCACTATGGCAGTTAACATGGCCTAGGGCTTCCCCTTCCTCCTGCATCCCATGTGGCCCTTCCTGGTGTGTGATGCCCCCTTCTTGTGGGAACTATAATAAATTCTTTCAAAGGCAATAATCTAATGTCTGTCAACTTACCATGAGTGAATAAAACAAATTTCAGAGCAGAAAAATCAGAAAATATCACATCATAAAGTTTTTAAAGTGATAAAAGATCCTAATTGTCTCGCCTGAGAGTTTCAGCCCTGGGCAAATTCACTCTGGATTTGGTGAGACTGAAAAATGACAACGAATGTTGTGGGTAAAGGATTTATACCCAGCTTTATTCTCATGGTCACAGGTCAAGGGCTAGAATCCTGTCTGTTTCAGGGCAGGTCTGCTTGCCCCAAGCCTGATTCTGCTGCCTCCAGGCTTCTCTGCCACCTCACAGCCCCAGTGCAGTGGGCAGAGTTCTTTATAGAGAGTCAATGATAGCACATTACCCACACGTGTGTAAGCCTGTGCCTGTGAGCATCGCATGTGTGCAGTGGGCAAGCAGACCAGGGTCAGGTGAAAATCCTGGCCAAGAAACTTCCATTTTCTCTACTAATATAGTCATGAAGTAAACCTAAACCAAGATATGTTGTATTAATGCAAATGGGCTGAACTCACCTATTGAAACAAAAAGATTTTCAGATGGATTCATGAACTCTTCTATCCAAAATACACCTACAAAAAGTTAGGAAGTTGAAAATAAAAGTACAAAGGAGAGCCAGGGAAATACAAAAGGAAAATGAGGGTATGATCTTAATATAAAAAGAGACTGAAGTCAGGGCAAAGCTTATTAAACAAAGGATATTTATAACACGAGAGGGAGCAATTCTTACAAATTATGTAATAATTATGTGCACCAAGTGGCATTAGGAAGCAGAAAGTACAGAAGGTAGTAGGAGACAGAAACCCATTCATAAAAAATTTTGTAGTCAAATGGACAAAAAGAATACAGAATCATGAATAATTAATTAAATGGATCTAATCAGTAAATACCAAAGTCTGCACCCTGGAAAACTGAATACACCTTTCCAAATACTCAAGGAAGTTGAAAATGTTAACCATAAAATAAACCTTAACAAATTCCAAAGAGTAAGTATAGACAGTCATCACATCACAAACCAATAAAATGAGAAATTCATAATTATGTAAAGTAGCTTTTGAATATAGACATCAAAACCAAAAAGTTCATATATTGCCTAAGAGCAAACACTAATTCTGGGAAACTCAGAATATCTCTGTAGATTAGGTTGGGTGGAGTGGTGGTGGGGCTGTGGGGAATCAGATAATAAATGGAGTCTGTACCCAGGTTCATTTTGCAGTGGCCCAGTGGATCCCTGAACCTACCCTCAGCTTCTGAGTGCATTACTGGGATAGACTACTTATCAACTTGCAGAATCTCCACTCGGTTCCCTAATTCATGGGTCAGTTATTATAATGAGAAAGCCAAATATGATAGAAGGGTCAAAACGCAATGCTGTATTCTTGCAAGAATCAGAGATTACTGCCATCGTCTCTTTTGGAAGATGAAGAGATCGCACTGTTTAACTCACTTTTTTCTGGATGTCTTAGAAAAATAGCAGAGGTGTATCTTAAATTATTCTAATTGCAGCTGCACATCCAAATGTAGTCTCTTCTTTATTACAGCAAATCAACATAGCCCCTAGAACTTGGTAGGAAGCTATAAATCCGGCAAATGCT